AATGGGGCTGCCTGGATTAACCGGTGCCCATATGAGATCCCGGGCGTGCAAGGCGAGGACCTTAACCACTGCACCATAGTGCCGGGCCCTGTTTGTTTTGTTTTGTTTTGTTTCCATCTGTTATTACACTAACCCTGGAACAATTTCTTCTACCTTTATTTAGGAAGGGTTAGGAGGAGCGAAGGGTATAGGAGTGCTGCATTTTCTGTTCTGAAATCTGTTTTCAGCCCCTAAGACTGAGACTACCAAGCTTTTAACCTTCTAACATGTATTTTTCCAGCCTTTAACAGCAGATGCATTATATCTTTGTAAAAACAAAGAAACGGGTCCCACACGATAGCCTATTAACTAAATCCTCCCTTTGCAGTATTCTAGCAGCTCCACTTCCCATCCAGCTCCCTGCCTGTGGCCTGGGAAAGCAGTTGAGGACAGCCCAGTGCTTTGGGACTCTGCACCCATGTGGGAGACCTGGAAGAGGTTCCTGGCTCCTGGCTCCTGGCTCCTGGCATCGGATCAGCGCAGCACTGGCCATTGCAGCCACTTGGGGAGTGAACCAGCAGGTGGAACTTTTTTGTCTCTCTTTCTCTATGTACATCTGCCTTCCAATAAAAGGAAATAAATCTTAAAAACACACTCATGAATGACAAGTTATTTAAAATTAGTCATAAAATGATTCAATAAGCATTTCTTCCATGCTTATGAATACAGAAAATAGTGTGCAGGGAGCAACTCATTCGTCCTTTTCCTCAAACACAGACAGGATTCTTGCCTGTGGTACTTAGTAGCGATCATTTGAGTAATCCCTCTGGGCTTTGGCTTCCTACTTTGGAAAATGGGCAATGCAATGAGGCTGACCTCACAAAATTTTTGTTAGCATTAAATGCAATCACATACTTCAATTGATTAGGACAGTACCAGCCACATGATAAGTGTCCAATAAATGCTATCTATTATTAACCTGTCTTCCATCAGGATTGGAGACTTCAAACCATCCTCTTGCCTAGGATTTAGTTCATCTAATTCCACCTAATATAATCACGCTTTTCCTATTTTAGTCCCAGCATGGACAAAGAATAAATGATAATGATTTTACATGTCATAACTTGTCACGAACTGCTTCAAGACAATCCCATTATTTTCAATTCACCACTGATTATCTGAGCAGGGTTGATGATTGAGCCAATTGAGACAAGCATGTGAAACATTTTGCAAGCTGCAAAGTGCTGCACTACTGTTATGGTTATTTTCACAAATAATTTCCATTTCAACAGGTTCATTTACCTTTTCTGCTGAATGTGTGTGATTTACTATATTATTAACTTAGAGATGAGATCTCAGTACTCCATATGTCGCATTAATTAGTGGTGACAATTTTAAGTGACCTGTTCTTTGGGCATTGTGAGCACAGCTTTATAATACATAGCTCCCAATAGTATCTGAAATGGAAACAGTAACTCGGACAGATACTCAAATAGGAGATATTTAAGAAAATAAACTCCATAGATTTAACTCTACTCTTTATGAATTTGCTGAGGACTTCATTCTTTAGATGAATAGCTGCAAGGAGATTAAATTTCATATAATGTAAAAGTGCATGTTGCATCATTAAGCTAAATAAAACAATATTTATACAGTATTGCAAAATCATATCAATAGATTGGGACCTTACCAAGACCCTAAGTGCTTAGGGAAAAAATACATATGTATATATATGGAGAGATAGATATTTAGACGGTAGCTTTTTTGGTTTTTGCTTTTTTAAAGATCTTTTTAATTGGAAAGGTAGGTTTACAGAGACAAAGAAACAGAAAAGATCTTCTGTCTGCTGTGTCATCCCCAAGTGGCTGCAATGGCTGGAGCTGAGCAGATCGAAGCCAGAAGCCTCCTCAGGGTCTCCCACTCAGGTGCAGGGTCTCCCACTCAGGTGCAGGGTCTCAAGGCTTTGGGCCGTACTTTGCATTGCTTTCCCAGGCCACAGGATGGGAAGTGGAACAGTTGGGACATGAACGGGCACCCATATGGGATCCCAGTGTGTGCAAGGCGAGCAATTAGCCACTGAGTCATTGCACTGTGCCCTTCATAGCTGTTTGGTAGAAAAATCAGTTTTATTTTATAGTTGATACAATTAAAAAGAAAGCAATGTCACATAATTAGAAAGCAGTTGAATTCATGCTGAAACTGCTCCTGAAAGTCACAGTTAAGATCCCCAGTGTAGGGGCCCGGCGCGGTGGCATAAGTGGTTAAGGTCCTCGCCTTGCACGCCCGGGATCCCATATGGGTGCCGGTTCTAATCCCGGCAGCCCCGCTTCCCTTCCAGCTCCCTGCCTGTGGCCTGGGAAAGCAGTCTAGGATGGCCCAAGGCTTTGGGACCCTGCACCCGCTTGGGAGACCCGGAAGAGGCTCCTGGCTTCGGATTGGTGCAGCATCAGCTGTTGCGCTCACTTGGGGAGTGAATCAGTGGACGGAAGATCTTCCTCTCTGTCTCTCCTCTGTATATCTGCCTTTCCAATTAAAAAAAAAAATAATACTAAAAATAAATCTTAAAAAAAAAAGATCCCCAGTGTATTAGAAAAGGTTACAAAAATTATAATTCCTGATGGGTAAAGTCAGAATGAATTTTTAAAAAGATGGTGATTTTACACAGAACAGAGCTGAAAACCAACTTGCCTGAATAGCAGAAAAATATAGAGTGTAACAGTAAACAAGTAGATCTTATCTGCATTCTACTCTTCATTTTCCTTTTTTTTTTTTTTAAAGATTTATTCATTTATTGGAAAGGCAGAGATACAGAGAGGAGGAGTGATGGGAATATCTTCTGTTCGATGGTTCATTCCTCAAGCAGCTGCCACTGCCAGAGCTGAGTCAATCTGAAGCCAGGAGCCCGGAGCCTCTTTGGAGTCTCCCACGCGGGTGCAGGGTCCCAAGGCTTTGGGCCATCCTGGACTGATTTCCCAGGCCACAGGCAGGGAGCTGGATGGGAGGTGGGGCCACTGGGATTAGAACCAGTATGCATAAGGGATTCAGGCATGTTCAAGGTGAGGACTTTAGCCACTAGGCTATTGTGCCGGGCCCAATTTTACTTTTCAAAGTGTTTGTAACTATTCTTGGGAGGCAATCAGGGTGAATGAGTATATTTTGAACAAACAGGCAAAAAATCTCACCATGCTTAAACATTACACTTAACTTAAAATGTATTATTCCAATAACACTAAGAAATTAGGTAAAATAAGTATCATGTTTCTACAAAAGGAATAGTAAGATGAAATGATTCAACATATACAGTAGCAACAAATCCCCAGCTATTAATGAAAAGGAACCATCTTTGAACTAGAGAATAGCTATATGGCAGGAACCCCAAACCTGTTGGGATATAGACAGAATTCCCAAATAGAAACTGATTCACATATTAAAAGGAACAAGTTCTACAAAAGCAAGGGGGAAAAGGTCTGAATGCTGTAAGGCAAACACAGTAGTTAAAGAAATCATTTTTCTTCTGCTTTCTGCCTATGTTATTATCAAACCAACCTGACTGCATTTCCTGATCAGATGTTCCGGTTCCATTGCGGTGGGCCATGATCTTATACCTCCAATTTACTAGACCTATATGTTGGCACTTCTGCTACTCTAGGCTTATATGCCAGTCTATTGCCACCTGGCCTAGGCCTCTCACCTACAAGAGGTGTCTCATAACTATGTCACAATCAGGTCTTCAGTTGACCAGCTGTCATGGAAACTTTAAAGGTACAGTTCAACCATTAACTGCCACAAGGCAAAGTCAAATACAAACTGAGACCAAGGCCACATACTACAAACATCCCCCCTCAAGACTTCCCAAAAGAACCACATGAAAGGCAAAGAAGCCAGATAGGTAAGAATGGTAGAGGTCAAATGTGGAAATCATAGCCAAGTGCCCTTTTTACATATCCTTGAATTTCTCCTAAATTGTGAAGCTCCTAAAAGGTAGGGATTCTGCTAAACTGTTGGACACGTCAGCATTAGGGACTGCGCAGGTGACCATCAAGTGATTGTTTGCTATCTTAAACAAACAAATTTATCTTCATCTTCTGAGTGAGGTAGGGATGGGTAATGCTGAGGCTTTGAGGCACAGACACATCACTCAAAAACGGAGCTGGCTCTGCTTGGCAAAAAATACAAGCAGATTAAAAAGATCTATAGAAGCAGAAAGGATAAGCATTGAGGGGAAACAGGACTAGGGAATTTAACATGGAGAACTTTAATTGAAGACACAGGCAAAAATATTTTTGCTACATTTTGAAGCCTATTTCTACCTCTTACTTTTGCTATACTTTCTGGCTACGTGTGCATAAACCAACACAGAGACCTTCTCCACTTCAGGCCCATCCAAACAGTGAGGATTAAATAGGCTAATACCTGTATAGCTGTTTAGATTAGCACCTAGTACATACTAAGTGTTATGTAGGTGTCTGTTCAATAAATCATTCCGGACCTCACAATTGTTAGGATCTTCATAAATTCTAGAAAGAGAGAAAGAGAATCTGGTTCTGCTCTCTGTCCTTCAGGATCGTGCCTAATGTCCTGGAATCTTGTGCATGATTGACTGACTGGCGTGGGAGCTCTCGTGAGATTTGCTTCAGTTTTAACTCCATTTGCTTATTTTCTGTTTCACTAGTGCACTCAAATGGATGATCTTCAGCAGAAACCAGCCTCTCTAAAAACCGTACCAATTGGGAATGAGATAATGCGAAAACCCCGTGTCTATTTTTCTTGAATACTGGCCCAAATTGCTCCAGAGAAATGATGCTCCCGACTCTCCAAATCATTGGTCGTTTTTGAAACAGGGCGCCAGGGGCCTGGAGCCAATGCCAATGAGGAAGTCATCGGGCACCCTAGAAACGCTCCTCCCTTTTGGGGGGACAGGGTTGCGGGGCAGGCTCCCACGCATGCTCCATGCCTGCGGGCCCATTGGAGGGGCCGCCGGGCGCGTGCGCAGGACCTAATGGGTACCGGGACGCGGAAGCACTGGCCCTGCCGAAGCTCCCGCTTCGGAAGCGTGGGAGGCGGAAGAGAAATCAGGTTGTAGATTTTGGTCTTGGCCCCAGTAGCTACCCCCGGGCCATTATAATCCGAGAGGAAAAGGAGGCACCCGGGGCTGAGGCGCCCGAGGGGCGAATCCCTCCCCCGCACCTGTCCTCGAGGCTGGAGGGGGGCAGGGACGGAGGAAGCATCTATCCCACGACTGAGAAGCCCCAGGGACCGGGTCCCTGAGCATGGAGAACTGCACCAGGTCCCTGAGCATGGGGATCTGGTGCTCCCGAGGACTCCTGGCCGGGCCCTGCCCGGCTGTCAGGTCCTCGGCGCTAGCGTTGCCTGGGCTGCCGCGGCGTGTGTAAACCAAACCGGACGCCGCCTGAAGTCCTCACACAGCGGGGGAAAAAACAGCATGCATTCTGCCACTGCCTAGTTTCTTCCCTGCTCGTCTTCTCCCTCTGCCTTCCTCCCTTTCTGCCCCACTTTTCGTGCTTCTTTCCCGCTCCTGCACTCAAGCCGCTGTCCACCTTTCCTCTTTTTCTTTTCCCTTTTGCCCTCCGCCTCTCATCCTCCCTGCCTTCTTACTTGTTCATCCCTCCTTTCTCCTGCCTTTGTCGTATCCCTCCCTCCATCCTGTCTTCTTTCACTTCTCCACGGTCTTCCCTCATTGCCCGTCACCTTCCACCCAATCTCCATCCCACGCAACAACCCTCTTTTCCTCCTAAGCATCTTCGCTCCCTCCTCCTCCTCTTCCTCTTTTACTTTCTCCGCCCCTAGCCCCCGCCCCCAAGCCTCCGCCCCTTAGCCCCCGCCCCCAGCTGCCAGTCCCTAGCAGCGCAGTCCTGCAGTGAGTCTTGGGAGTCCAAAGCTAAGCACCAGGAGCTGAGCTGTAACCCGCTGTGCCTGCCTACAAGTCTCCGACATGGCCCAGGAGAAAATGGAGCTGGACTTTGAGCCTGACACATCTGATGGGGGCACCCTGAGGCGATCCAACAGTGCTCCCCTGATCCATGGGCTCAGGTGAGCAGGATTGGGGAAGATGGAGTAGGCTTTAGGGCTCCTTGACCCGGTTCAGGCAGTTTTCCTTCCCGAAACTGCGAGTTCCAATTCATGGGTGCTCTCCAAACTGAGGCGGTGGGAACTTATTTGCTTGTCAGAGACTTGGACCCCAAGGTGGAATGAAAGTTGAGCCCGAAACTCCGGGCAGTATGAGGGAAATGGGGTCCCTTCCACGTGGGGCAGTGGCCCAGCCTGAAAGGAGCTGCAGAAACCTGGCTCTCCTGACAGACTGCTGGCCTTGGCTGATTTACACCAGGGAATGTCATTCTGAAGCCCCTGGAACTAGACTTGCAACTTGACACCTGTCTCTAAGAGCTGCTATTTCTAAGCTTAGTGTAGGGAACCTGGCATTAGCAGAGGTTTACTTTAATAAATCACAGTTTATCTAATCACTGTAATTAAATGCTGTGTTCACATCAAATTAAGTGATTTGGATTTGTCCTAATGTATTCAGGTTCTAAAACTGCCTGAAATGCATTTCAGTAAACAGAAAAAAGAACGGTGGTCCATAGTTTGTCAGTGGAAGTACGCATTTCAGCAAACAATGGAAAGGACTATGGACCCTTGCATTTAGGCGACAGGGGTTTATGTTCTTGTGTGAACAAGTTACCAGAGGTTTTCTTTTTAAGGCAGAATCATGTCAGAAAGGTTAGTTTGGCTCACCTTCTGAATCTATCACGTTTTGCTGTGAGAGGTAGTTCATTTTAGGTAGGGAACCAATTGATGAGACTGTAGAAATGGCATGAATCCAGAAAGGTGGATGGGATTGGAATTAACCAAAAACAATAATCAAGCAAGTGAAAGCAAAAAGCTAATCGCTGTCTATTAAGCTGATTATAGTTTCTGGATTTTGGAGACAAAAACATTTTTATTTTACTGTTTCTCCTTTTATTAACTACAGTTTTAAACTGAGGTAACGATGGGGTGAATTTTTAGCTTCATGATGCTGCTCTTGGAATAACATTTTTTAAAAAATGTACCTTAGGAATGAACTTATCTGTTGTTTTCTTTATGTTGTTGTTGTTGCCTTTTTAAAGTCTGGTAAGCCAGCAATTGCTAGGAACTTGGGTGATCCTGTTGACCTGCATTTAGGCTGTTGTAGAAAAAAAATCGTTTTTGTGAATCACAATTTAAGTAATTGCTTGAAAGGTAGCATGATGTGACAAAGAAGGGGTGAGGAAACGAGGCCTGATCCCAATTTTCACTAACTAGTTATGATCACGAATGAGTCATTTAACCTTTCTGAGTCTCTGTTTTCTCATTTAAAAATTAGTAGAGCTGAATGCAGTGATCTCAGTGGTTCCTTGAAGGCCAATCCAGTTCAGCCTTGAAAATCCTTCTCAAAGTCTTACCATGGGCTTGATTCCCTAGTAGACACCGCAGGGATATTATCCAAAGGTGAATAAAGCACCTGAGTACCAAGGCCTTGAAGACACATCCACTTTTGTTTTGTTTAATGAAAGATAAACCAGGTGCCACAAGAAGCATCCCATTTCTCCGTGTGTTCTCTGGGTTCAGATGAGGAGATGGCTGCATTTGATCTGTGGAATGGAAGATTTGTGCCATCCCTTCAGGGAGGACATGGCATTTGAGATGGGTTAGGAGAGCAAGGATTTGGACATATGGTCTAGGAGGGAGGACATTTGAAGATATGAGCAAAACCTCAGGTTTGTTTGTTCAGTTGAGTTACAGGGAGTCAAAGGTAGAACTCATGTTTAGAATGGGTAGAAGATGTGCTGATTACATCTCCTGTTAGAGAACATGGCCCTCCGGCCCTTTTCAGGTCACAGTAAACACAGAAACGGTAATATTCATAGGTCCTTTGAAGTAAACAAACGAAGCTGCTCATATCTGGTGGTAGATAACTGGTTTGAGGGCATAGCTCTGGCCAGAAGCAGCTGGGAGCAACCAGTCTGATGCCCTGCCTCGCACATCCCTGAGCTGCCCCCCAACTATTGTGGAGTTCAGGGTCCTGACAGAGTGTCATCCGCAGCAACCAGCTGGTCACCTCTGCAGACACCTGACGGTGAGGCATTTCTTCTCGGTTGGACATGAGAGCCGCCGTAGGGTTCCTTGTGGACTACAGAATTGGTGTGAATATGTGTAGACAATACCTTCAATTAGAAGACATTAATCATTTCATTTTTAATTTTCAGTGACCTTTCACAGGTTTTTGAACCTTATACTTTTAGAGGTCGGAGAAATAGTACGGCATTTATGAACTACCACAGCTTGTTGGTAAGTATCTGAGTAAGTATTGGAAGGGATTTCGATGGGGGAAATACATCCTGAGGCAATTATTTGGGAAGATTATGTGCTATACACATTTGTCTAAAAGAGATTGATTTTTACTGCCTTGTTTACTGCTAAGACCATTCAGCTTTTCACACACAAAGGGGACCTTAACAATTTTTTCTTTGCTGTGGGACTTGATATTTTAAACAAAAGTTCACTGTTGAAACTGTTCTCATCATGGTTGTGAGGTAGGTTAGGATTCGCTTTTACCACTAGCTGGGAACAATGGTCTTTATATGTCCCAGGATGTGAGAAGCACTTCATCCAGTAGCACAGTGTTGTTGGACGGCGCTGGTTTTCAAAACTCAAGACTCCTTCAGAGTGCTTGTATTTATATGTTCAAAAGAGTTGCTGACTGTGGCTGCTGTCTGCAGCCTAAGCTGTCGGGGATTGCCTCATGGAGCCGATACATCACGAGAAATGATGGTAGGGTTTTTATGAAGTGCTGATTTCACTTGTGGAGCTCACTTATCCAACAGTCTCAGTTCTCTGGAAGACATCGGAAATGGAAGCAAAGAGCCGAACTACATTTCCATTGTCTGTGCACAAAGGTTTATCTGTTTATTTACAAGGGAAGTCTCTCTGGCCTCACAATCATCTAAAAGTTACAATCACAATAATAATCCTCCAACTCAGTGATGCGTGAGAATTAGCAAATCGGAAGAGGTATGTCTAGGTTAAAGATATCCTAATAGCTGCTTGCAAAGGAGCAGAGCAAAGCACTGGAAAAAGGTGTTTTTTTTTTTTTTTTTTTTTTTTTAATTTGTGGTTTGGTATAAAGTGGCTCTTTTCCTCACATCTCCTCTCAACTCACACATCTTCTATGGGGATGTGTAAAGAGCCTTATGGTACCCCCCTGAGAGTGTTGTTGGTACAGAACCATGCAATAATGTGTCTAAGGATCCCTGGGTCCTTAACCTCTTTTTAATGTCTAGGAGTACTCACAGTTGTATGGTATCTGGCATGTTCCCGAGTGCTTTCCCGCTTTTGATTCTTACAGCAACCCCTCTGAAGTAGACAAGGCGAAAGTTATTTTTCTCAATTAAAAGTAGCAGCAGCTAAAACTCAGACACTGTAAGTGACTTGCTCAGAATGTTGCAATTAGTAAGTGGCAGAACTGGGATTAGAATAGAACACTTCCAGTGCCATTCTGTTTGCTATAATCTGTTTAAGAAAGTGAAAAATGTAACACATTTAAGCAAGATTTCCAGCTGAGGTGCCTAAAAATACTTAAAAGGGGAACCGTTAGCTATCTGGAGGTTTCATTCTCTTCACCTCCTTCCCTAAGGATACTGGAAAATATCACTACTTATTTTTGCTACGTGTATGAAAGATGTTTATAAGTGTTAGGCAACTGTGCACTGTGATAACAGTAGCATGGCAAACAAGGGGGGGGGGGATGCATTTACCTCTCTGTACTTCACTTATCTCTTTTGCAAGATGTAAAGATTCCGGTCAGTACTGGTCTAGGCTCATCTCTCACTACTCCCTGACAAACATGCATTGCCCTGCACTAAAATATTGACTTTTCCAAAGGGATGTGGTAATTCACTGTACCTTGTTGATCTTTGTGCTGGCTTTTACCCCATTCCCTGTTCCTTTCCAGTCCTTCCAAACTCAGCAAAATCTTGTGTCACGTTTAGATCGACCTACACAACTGTCTGCGTAATACCGACACTACATATCTTATACCATAGTACACTCTATAAACGTTAATGTGCTTATCAAGTGTTTCATAGTAATGTAGAGGGTGTAAGTTGTTAGCAGATGGATGGGCACAAGTGGGAGCTTCATGGTATGCCAATTGATTAGATAGAAGGAGAGGGAGAACAAGGACTCCGAGACTGCGATTGTGTTTCTTGTTGCTTGTAACCTTGAGAAGCCCTGTGGGGGGGGAGGGGGTTCGTATAACCTTTGATGAGCTCAGGAGTCTAATGGTTTAGTAGTTTAAAAGGGAAGAGGGTGAAATCTTTGGAGCATGCTGGATTCAGGTTGCCACTGACCCCATGCTTTTGTCCAAAACAGTATTGTACATTTTTTATTAGACTTGGCCAGCTTCCAGTGTAGTCACTCTTCACTTTGAGTGGGTGATCCTTCCTACTGCACAAAGCTACACATCTATCTTGTATAAACATCAGCTTTCTTCTATAAGTGTCTTCACCTCCACATGTTTCTCCCTAATGCTTTGTGCCCCTTCTGATGCCTGTACTTCACTGTGAACTCTCTTGTCTAGTGTCTTTCTTCCTCAGTGTCTCTTTTCCTCACATTTCCCAGCTCGTACATCCTGTATGACAAGAACATGCTGTTTTGTTTTTCCTAGGGATCCCCTTTCCCTCTTGAAACTTTCAAACTTTGGCAAAACTGCCTCTAACCCCTTGTCCCCTAATTACTTGTGAGTTTGTAATCTGGCTACTATTCTTGCAAAAAACACCAGTGCCCAATTAATTGTCAATGTCAGGGTCTCATTTCCTATCCCACTTGTTTTGCTTTGCTTAATCTTTAATGAGCACCTGCTTTATGTTATTGCCCTCCCCACCAGGCAGTATGTCACTATCTTCTTCCTGCAAGTAGATGCAGTTTGGCTGCTTTTCACCCCTCTTTCTGGTCTACTTTTCAGTTTTTTTCTAAAATTGATAAATTGTGTATTAAGTAGGTGATTTCTCTGTTGTTGATTTCTTCATTCTAACTAGCACCCACCTTGCTCTCTATGACGTTATCCTGAAAGACTTTCTACCTTGCCTGACAGGTCAACATTTTTTTCAAATGGGGTTTTTAAACAATTTGTAACTTTGAACATGGAGGGGGGAGGAGAATGCCTTGAAAAAATATTTACCTATGGTAAAGTTTTTTGCTCTGCAATTCCTAGGAGAAAAAAACAACGAAAATGTGTGGGTAATGATGAAGGAAATCTTTCTTTTTTTTTGTTAAGATTTATTTATTTTTATTGGAAAGTCAGATATACAGAGAGGAGGGGAGACAGAGAGGAAGATCTTCCATCCGATGATTCACTCCCCAAGTGAGCGCAACAGCCTGAGCTGTGCCTATCCGAAGCCAGGATCCAAGAACTTCTTCCAGGTCTCCCACATGGGTGCAGGGTCCCAAAGCTTTGGGCCGTCCTCGACTGCTTTCCCAGGCCACAAGCAGGGAGCTGGAAGGGAAGTGGAGCTGCCGGGATTAGAACCAGTGCCCATATGGGATTCTGGCGTGTTCAAGGCAAGGACTTTAGCCACTAGGCCATGCCACTGGGTCCCCGATGAAGGAAATCTTAAAAGCATATTTTAGTAAATAACATTATAAAAGTTTTCTCTTGAATTAGCTGTTGCCTAAAAATCAAGTCACTCATTACCATGTTCTATTGCTCACTGCATTAACATTAAAAAAAATAAAGCGTTAGTAGTTTAGGGACTCCTAAAGGGTTATTTTTTTTTAGCTAACTTAATTGTATAGAATTACCAGTTCAATTCTAATTTGGGGGAGAATGGATAATAGTTCTTTACATTATGGGTATTAGAATCCTATCATATATTGATATGTATTGTATCTTACATTTCATATCAGATTGTCATAACTTTGAGTGAACATAATTGGTGCCTAAAACATTTCTAAATGAAAATGGTAATCAGATATTTTTTGCATTTTTACATTGATTTTTCTCTAGTAAGATTTGTGATAATAGCATTAGTGATCAAATATCAGAGCTGATTTAGAGCATGTAAACACAATCTCCTTATTGCAGTTTTGATGTGTGTTTGGTCAACATTAATCACATACACACACAAACATATTGAGCTTATTAGCCTGTCTTCCTCTGTTGGTATACTGCTTATTTTTAAAAAATGCTGTTTTTTTTTTCTTTCCTTTTCTAACTTTAGATAAGTGGGGTAATGTATATTTCTAAGACCCAGAGTCTTTTTTTCCTAACAGTACCCAGCTCTGCATTCATTTGGGGAAAGTACTAGGGTCAGGGCCGGTCTGGGGACAGGTGGTGCTTTGAGGTTGGGCACCTGGGTACTTTCTGAATACTACATGTACTGCTTTTCGGGCATTGATGTTAGGGACTTAGCTAAATTTCGAAGAAGACTGAAAAATTATCTAGAAAAAGGTTGTGCACCAGCATTGACAGCAGACTGCCTGCTTTGTGATTCAGAAAATAGTAAATGTTTACTTTTTCTTTCCAGTTGCTGTCATCCTCACCTAATCGTATTCATAATAGCAGACTGCATCAAATCAAAAGGGTAATTTTACTTACTAGTTCAGATCTGATTTTTTTATATATATTTTTATTTTGAAGGTTTAGACAATAAAATATAGGTTGCAGCTGTAGTAAGAGACAGATTAAAAGTCTTCTGTGTATACGGATGAAATGTAGATCTGGCATGGGTGACCATCTTAGTATGTTAGTTCTGCTCAACTGTGGCTTGTGTCAGGTGAGGTAGAAAACCTTTTCAATGTCATTTGAAATAGAGAACTATGTGGATGAAAATTATGTTTTTAGCACATGCATTTATCTTTTCAGGAGGAAGGCATGGGCATGATGAACAGAGAAACTGAACATGAAAGGTTAGTGCTTCACAGAAGGCAGCCCTAGCCTAATATATGTCTTGTTTGTAAATACTGATGGTCTGTCATTTCGTTTGTTTCAGGGAAGTGCAAGCAGCGATGCAGATAAGCCAGTCATGGGATGAGAGCTTGAGCCTGGTAAAGTTTGCCCATGTCTGCTCATTTGAGAAACCTTTATGTTGTTGACCACTCCTATTAACTGCTTTCTGTATTGCATCGTTTGTGCTTTCCAAGCGATGTTCTTTTTGGTCTCTAACTTACAACACAATATTACAGTCAGTGTGTGTGTTTGCGACTTTAAAGATACGTATTCTAGTAGTAAGTGCTGCAGTGTTCTGGGTTGTTATAAGGCAGTAACATGTGTATGCTTGCAGAGTGACAGTGACTTTGAGAAGCCAGAGAAATTGTACTCTCCAAAGAGAATTGACTTCATTCCAGTTTCTCCAGCACCTTCACCTACCCGAGGATTTGGAAAAGTAAGCTTATAGATCCTCGCTTCTACAATGAGTGGTTTACTCTCTCAAACAAAAACTGTGCATAAATCACATCCCTTTTAAAGTATCCATGACTTGATGGGGGAAAAAAAAATCAATGAAAATCCATGACAGTAATTTGAAAATAAAGATACCTAAGCCATGCCAAGGATGTTGTTTGTGCCATTTTGAAAAGAACCTTTTGAAAACTGGGACCCATAAATCAGTATGGTTAAAATAATAATTAAAAAAGTAAGTTAGAAAACTAGGAGCACTCTAACTACTTTAACATTAAATATGCTTTTTCACAGCAATGCTTTTCACCATCCTTACAAATGTTTGTGAGTAGCAGTGGGATGCCACCAAGTCCCATTCCAAGACGATTCTCCAGGTAAGTGAACTTGAGGTTTAAATATGTTTAAGGACCACTCAGTACAGTTGACTCACAGATTGACTTTTTCCCCAATATTTCTTTATGGAAAATGTTCAGACATACAGCAAAACTGAAAGAATTTGACAGTGTACAATATACCCGCTGCCTGTATTCTACCATTAAGATTTCATCAGATTCTTATTTTTTTATATTAGCACTGATCGATTTTCAGATGGAACATATACCCACACAGGATAATATACTCATTTTAAGGTTAAGTAAACAAACCTGTAACACCAGGGTCTAGCCTATGGAACAGCAGTTAAGTCTGGTCATGCCTTAACATCCCGTACATCCCACATTCAAGTCTCAGCTACAATTCCATTCCATCTTTCTGTTAATAAACAGTCTGGGAAGTAGCTCAGATACTTGTGTCCTTGCCACCCACGTGAGATACCAAGACTGAGTTCTGGGTATCTAATTTGGCATGGCACAGCCTTGGCTGTTGCAGGCATTTGGGGAATGAGCCATGTGGAAGAGCACTCTCTTTTTGTTTTTCCAATAAAATTAAAATAGCGTTTGAAAGAAGGGAAGAGTGTTTACCAGTCAAAATTCAAGTAACTTTGTAATAATGTATTTTTTCCTTTAAAATATTGTGGGCTTTTACAAGAACACCTGGTGTGATGGCTTATCTTGGAGCAAGCAAGTCTCAATGCTATCTCTCTTTCCTGTCTCCCCTCCGGTTGTGGTTGTAAACCTCTGAAGATAGCCCCCTAACCCCAAGGCTATCTCCTCCTCTCTCCCTTTGTTCAGGTTGGCTATGTTGCTCTTCCTTTTTGAATTTCTTTAAGTTTAATTAACACAGAAAAACCAACCCTAGAGACTGCTAGGTTCCTCCAAGATAGTGATTAACAAAAGCTTGCCTGTCTTGGCCTTTTTTTTTTTTTTAAGATTTATTTATTTTTATTACAAAGTCAGATATACAGAGAGGAGGAGAGACAGAGAGGAAGATCTTCCATCTGATGATTCACTCCCCAAGTGAGCGCAACGGCCGGTGATCTGAAGCCAGGAACCAGGAACCTCCTCCAGGTCTCCCACACGGGCACAGGGGCATCCATATGGGATTCTGGTGTGTTCTGGAGGACTTTAGCCTCTAGGCCATGGCACCGGGCCCCTGTCTTGGCCTTTGTAACAGGAGCTTTGACACTGGGCCTTTTGGTTTAAAAATCTGTATGTTCTTAGATGTGGTGCATCATCCTAAAAGCATGGATGATGGCCACAGTGTAGTTTAATAAAATCATTTCTTTGTGAAAAAATATATTGTGGGGCCCGGCGCGGTGGCGCAGTGGTTAAGGTCCTCGCCTTGCACGCCCGGGTTCCCATATGGGCGCCGGTTCTAATCCTGGCAGCCCCCCTTCCCTTCCAGCTCCCTGCCTGTGGCCTGGGAAAGCAGTTGAGGATGGCCCAAAGCTTTGGGACCCTGCACCCGTGTGGGAGACCCGGAAGAGGCTCCTGGCTTCGGACCGGCATGGCATCGGCCGTTGTGCTCACTTGGGGAGTGAATCATCGGATGGAAGATCTTCCTCTCTGTCTCTCCTCTCTGTATATCCGCCTTTCCAATAAAATAATAATAATAATAATAAATCTTTTAAAAAATATATTGTGGGCATTTTATCGTAAGGATGATTTCCAAAAATTAAATGCTGTGTTATTCCAGGTTGTCACATACTAGATAAGTCCTGTTGCTATTTTAGTTGTTTTGAACACAAGCATTTTCCTATTTCTCCCTGTATGCTTGTCACTTTGATTCATTTATTTAGTGGATCAACCTGCTGTTTATCCTGCATCTTGGAAGCACTTCACCTTATCCTGTTTGTTTATTCATCCAAGCAGGCGGAGCCAGAGTCCAGTTAAGTGCATCAGGCCCAGTGTTCTTGGTCCTCTGAAGAGAAAAGGTATGCAGCAGTACACTGTCACTGCCAATACCATCTTATATCCTTGAAATTTGCCAAGAGCCTAAATCTTCAATGTGCTCACCACACACACACACACACACACACACACACACACACACACACACACACGCAATATAACTAGGTAAGGTGAGAAATGCGTTAAGAAATTTCATTACAGTAATCATTTATAGTATCAAGTCATCACATTGTACATCTTACACTTGAGAGTTACACCACAGTAAAGCTGGAAAGAGAAAAGAAATGATAGGTATCACACTTTTGGTAATAAGCCGAGCAAGAAAGTAGAATTCTGGGGCCATCCTTGTGGCATAGCTGGTAAAGCTGACAGGCTGTGCCTGTGATGCATACCATCGTCTCATATGGTACTGCATCATGTCCTGGCTACTACTTCCAGTCAGGGTCCTTGTTGATAGCCTCGGAAAGAGCAGAGGAAAGCAGGCTGAGTGTTTGAGCTCTTGGCATCCTCATCCCAGATAAAGACCCTAGAGCCTTACTTCAACCTAGCCCAACCCTGGCTGTTGCCTCCTTCTGGGGAGGTGAGACAGCAGCTGAAAGATCAGTCTCTCCTCTCCCCACCGTTTAACTCTGAATTTCAAAGTAAACAAATAATAGAAATCCTGTCTGAAAATCATGACATGGCCTTCCTTTTTATTTTTCTAAAGAAATGTGAAGTATTTTTTTCCAATGCATTATTTACTAATTCTAACCTTTATAAATTTATTTGATAGCATCTATATTTTTCTTACATTTTGTAGTGGAATAGTATTCATATTATCAATGTAAACTCCAAATATATTGCGTCCCAGTGATCTGATACTGTGTTGTAGTTATATATACTAATATCTTCAGAAATATATCTGTAAACATGTGGTATGCTCAAGTGCAAGGGTACACTTACTCTGTCACAAATCGCACTCTGCAAATTTTAAAATGCCTTATATTCTGGTCTGTAACATTTTTTGGTATAATGAGGAGTGTTCTTTTCATTTCCTTATTTTGAACCACAGAGCACTAAACATAGGCCTCAGTCACTGTTAGGCTGATTCTTCTCACAATCATTTGATGACATCTGTTTTTATTTTTTCCAATAAGAAAAGAAACTTAGCACAGGTTTAGTGATTATTTCTGTGGATGTGATCACATGGTAGTGACTGTCGGGTATCATTTAGAATGAAGAATTTTGACAATAACTTTTAGAAAATAGTTCAATAAGTAGCATCTGTGTGCAAATCACCTTTAGGGCCAATAAAAAAAAAAACTGTCTTCATATCAAATACTTGTGTTTTGGTCCATACTTTCCAGTCATAGATCATACCAAAATGGAAACAGTGGTGTATTTCAGGCAATCTAAATTAAAGTTGATATGCTCTGGAAAATGGATCCTAACATAGTGACTCTATCTATTTGCTGAATGAATTTTATTTTACAAGCTATTTTTTCAATCTTGCAAGGAGTTACAATCCTAGGAGAGTTCTCAGAAGCTATTAAATAAAAATAACTTTTATAAATACAGCTATTGTCAAAAATTGATTGCAGAAGTTGATGGATTCAGTATGATTGCTGAGTTTCATAGCTATTCCAAAATTTACCAGCAGATGGAGAGATTCCTTACTAAAAAGGGCCAAATTGTTTGGCCTGTGGAGTTGAAAATCCAGCAACAGCTCTTAAAATCTGTGTGTTAAAGCATGGAAAAAGCAAATACAAATCATAGCTTTTCTTGAGCTTCAGAAGTTTTCAGGAGAGCTGCAAAGGAAACAATCTAAGTTAAGTGGTTATATGAAAAAATTAACATTGAATTTGGTCTTGTTTTTTTACATTGTAAAAATCTTTTCTGGATTTAAGTTCAGAGTCACTGATTTCATACTGTAGAACCATATAGATAGGTTTATGAATTAAATTTTATTTAACATTCCATTTTAAACCTCATGTAGTAAACTTCAAAAACAAGAAATGTGCATTTTTTTTAGTAAAATCATAGCTTTTACATAAAAAGAATTAAAATCTTAAGTAACTGCAGAAAACTAGTAAGCATTATTGCTGTCGGTGTAGTTTTTGTATTACCATTTCTGAGAAAATCTATAGATTGGGGTAGCCAGTATAATACCAATTTTATGAATTGAACAATGATTACTTTCAAATACAATGTTACTTTCAATTTTATGTTTAAATCTTTATTTTCACTGAGTAGTATAAATTACCTTTTATATAGATACTGTTTATCATGCTGTATATTTTTCAGATTTGCTTGATATTGTCTCAGGAAATGTTCACATCCTAAAATACATAAAATCAGTAGTCTTTGTTAACCAACTAGTGCAAAGTAGTAGTCGGTGTGAGCCTCAGCAGTTTAGGAATACTTTAGTTGTAATATGGTTGGCCTTGATCCACTTTGTCTGATAGAATCAACTTTCTCTTCTGCTAAAGAGCATGTAACTCCATACCTAGATGCCTCATATGCAATATCAAATGAATAGTGTGGTTTTTGTTTTTGTTTTTGTTTTTGTTTTAGGCCTATAGATGTTCTGGTTGAGGTTACATGGAAACATAGTTCTTCCATGTTAAAGCACATGGGAAAATAGCTTTTAAGTAATGGCTTAAAAGAGTATTCTGAGCTCTGGTTAAACAAAAATCACTCCATTTTAGCATCAAGCCTGTATTTATAAAATTGTTATATATTACCGTCATCTTCTTCTGCTCTAGGTGAAATGGAGACAGAGAGCCAGCCCAAGAGACTCTTCCAAGGCACTACCCATGTGCTACCTTCGGATGCTACGAAATTTTCTGATCTCAGTTCATGGTAAAAATGAAATAAAATCAAAAGAGCCATATAAAAACTATATTGGGGTAACTTAAAAGATGAGCATCTTTTTAGTCATATTCTAGAAAGAGGAAATCTCACTAAAAGTACAGTTTGGAGGGAGAAGTTTTAAAGTCATAGGTACTTTATTGGGAAATATGTGTGTCTGTTTTGGCACTTTAACTTCCTGCTCCTAGCTTCCGAGAGATCAGCCTCTCTCACCAGACCGAGCAGTGTAACAGGGTCAGTAGCTGGATGGTGTGAGAAAAAGTCTGGATTGGGTTGTTGTGGTAATGTACATTAAAGCTTTTCTGCCTGTAGTTTTTTTTTTTTTTAAGATTTATTCAATTTTTACTGGAAGTCGGAGGCAGATTTACAGAGAAAAGGAGAGACAGCAAGAAAGATCTGTTTTCTGCTGGTTCACTTCCCAAATGGCTGCAAAAGCCAAAGCTGAGCTAGGAAAATTCCTCCGACCTAGGAAAATTCTTCAAAAGCTAAGAAACTTCTCTGGGTCACTCATGTGGGTGCAGGGTCCCAAGACTTTGGGCCATCCTCTGCTGCTCTCCCAGGCCATAAGCAGGGAGCTGGAAGGGAAGTGGAGCAGCCAGGACATGAACATATGAGATTCTGGCACTTACAGGCAGAGGATTAGCCAGTTAAGCCATCACATCAGCCCCTCTGGCTGCATTTTATAGCATTTAGACTTGGCAGTGAAAATAAGCATTCGTTTTTTTTTTTTTTTTTTTTTTTAATGTCAGAGAGGAGGAGAGAGAGAGGAAGATCTTCCTTCTACTGATCACTTCCCAAGCGGCCACAATGGCAAGAACTGAGCCAATCCAAAGCCAGGAGCCCAGAGCCTCTTCGGGGTTTCCCACATGGGGTGCAGGGTCCCAAGGCTTTGGGCTGTCCTCCACTGCTTTCTAAGGCCACAAGCAGGGAGCCAGAAGGGAAATGGAGCAGCCAGTATATGAACTGGCACCCATATGGGATCCTGTTACGTGCAAGGAGAGGACTTTTTTTTTCAGTCTTGCTTGTCCTAGTTTAGATCTGTAACTTGAGGGCTTTCAGTGCTTTTGTGAGAAAGTTCATTTATGCCTGAGGTTGAGCTTTGCATGCTGATGTATATTGAAAGGAAGGGGAAAGGATAGTGGCAGCAACTAGGTAATATTTCGAAATCTTTGAATAGGTTCCAAGCCACTCACTGAGTACCTATGTTCTAGACACAATTGTGAAGTGCCTTTCAGAACTTTTTTGTTCATTGAGTTTTATGACTTGAAGATCTTTTACAAACGGCCATGTGCAGTCATTTCAAAAGCACATTAGTGCCTTTTAAATGGAAGAGGTTTGTAAACCACTTACAAGGTATAAGGGTTAACGATTCCTTCTTCCTGAATCACTTACTCGTTATTTTGTGTAGTAGCCCATGCTTCTATTTGACCAAGAAATCAGATTCTCCTTTATTAGATTTGTTGAACAGCGCTGTTTAATCTTGGAACAAATGCCTTTTAGATTGTTGTAGATATGTTCAGTCCCGCCCCCCTCACCATCTCTCTTCCCTGTCATCTCAGTCTTTCCTTAGCAGCACAGTGTGCTAAGTTTTATCTTTTGAGGTATACAGATGATTGCAAAGAGAAAACTTTAGAAACTTGTCATGAAGACTAGTGGGTGAAAATATGCTTAGTGAAAACTGCCTTTGAGTTCTATGGTCTAGTGTGTTTTAATATAGGCACATGACTGGAAATAAATTTGCTTACCCGTTACTAACCAAGTGACCAAGTGAAGTAAAAGATACAACAGCACTTTGCCACGCTAAAAACATCCGGGTGATATGATGTTTTGGGTTGACTATGTAGGTTGCCATTAAAGAAGTTCACACAAAAAAAGTAGGGGAGGGAAGGGAAGGGAGAAGTATTTACCTGAGTGCCTCTCCCTTCCGGGTGGTGATTTCTCTGAGCAGCAAAACACTAAGTGGATGATGGTGACTACCATAAGACTTCTCTCTTGCCACTAGTCCCACACTGGGAGGGGATGTGTGATTAGCTATGAGAGCCCTGGGAACACCATCATTGGCAGCGAAGGAAACTTTGAGTCTGTAAACAAAAAAGGCTGTTGGTGTACATAGTGATTTGCTTTATTCACGAGCCACTCATGGAGTGCTGTGGAGCTGGTGTGTGGTCCCAGTAATCTTGAAAGAGGACTGTTACTCAGAATTTACAAGACTTTCAAAGACAGTTCAGCAATTCATTAAATTTTCAAATAATGTTTTGACTCAGATTGTAGCATCTGTTCCTAGGAGGTTATTGGAGTTTAACATTGCAGTGAAATTTTTGGGATATCTTATATGCTAATGATGCTGACATTTATATCTCCAATTAAGATATTTTAAATACAAATTTTTCCTTTTTGTAGAAAATAGATCCTGCTCTTGCTGAATTTTTTTCTTCTGTCTCTTAAATGTAGTTCCATTGATCAGAATCAAACATCAGAGTTGTATTCTTAGAAATGGGGACAGAGACAAGAACCAGCTGCATTCTGGTTTCTGTTGCCAAGGATAACAATCTACTTGGTAATGCAGCTAAGGAAGCAGCTTGTATACTACCTTTTGGAAGTCAGAAAAAGGATCCCTTCATTAGAAAATGTTGTCTCATCATTTAAATCTTTATAATTTGTTGCCTCCCGATCCCACAAAGAAAATGTGAGGCCTACAACCTGTAAATTGAATTTTATATATTCGATAATATCTAAAGTTTGACATCTTGAAGTATGAATCAAGTTTTAGAACAGACCCATTTGAAGTTTGTGTCCAGTTAGGCATACTTTTTATTTCATCTTAAAAACAAAACAAAACAAAAAACCCTGAAAATTCTGAAACCTTTGCCAACCACATCTGGTAAACATTGTTAGCCACAAGAAAGGAATTATAACATTCTGTGTTTATTCTTTATGAACATTGAAAATGTGAGCATAACTCAGAAACACACCTTTGCATGGTGCTTTGATTCAGTTTGCATGTTGTGAACTCTTTACGACTGTGTGTATCTGCAGCATGCTATAGAGCAGGACTTTACGGCTGCTGGCTGTGCAGTGAAGCTCTGTGCTAATCTCTTTCTCTTGCATCAAAGGAAAAAGTCTCCCATGAATTCTCATGCCCAGTGCATCAGTGATTTAAAAAAAAGTTATTCATATTCTTTTTGTTTGAAAGGAAGATAGAAATAGAGTTCTCCCATTGCCGGTTCACTCTGTAAGTGTCTCAGCTCTGAAACTGGTCCAAGGTGAAGCCAGGGTCCAGGAACTCAGTCCATGTCTCTCATGTAGATGGCAAGGACCCAAGTAGTTGAGCAATCACCTGTTGTCTCCCACGATGCTCATTAGCAGAAAGCTGGAGTCAGGAGCCAGAGATGGAACTCAAAACCATGAACTCCAATAGGGGAAACAGGTATCCCAAAGCATCCTGGATCTTGTTCCAAACACCCACTTTAATGATGGTTCTTAACTTCTTTTGTTAACATTTACTTCAGTGTTGTTACATTATTTCTAATGTCATATGCGCCATGGCCAAAAAAAGAAAAAAATCATAAATATATGACTGGTATAAAAATTGTTTTCATCATGATTTATTTAATAAATTAACAGGAATACATCTATTTACTTTAGAAATGTTTATGTAAATGATTTAGAAATCTGTGCTCATACTTGTATATTCCTGCCTCCAACCTAGCTTTCAAAATGATCATATTTAAATATGTGATCTGAGAGGCCAGCACCATGCTGTAGTGGGCTAAGCCTCTGCCTGTGGCGCCAACATCCCATATGGGCACCTGTTTGTGTCCCAGCTGCTTCACTTCTGATCCAGCTCCCTGCTTATGTCCTGGGAAAGCAGTAGAGGATGGCTCAAGTCCTTGGGCCCCTGCACCCATGTGGGAGACCTGGAAGGGGCTCCTGGCTTCTGGCTTCAGTACAGCTCGCCTCTGGTCGCTGCATCCATTCGAAGAGTGGACCAATGGATGGAAGATGTCTCTCTCTGTCTCTTCTTCTCTCTGTAACTGTCTTTCAAATAAAAACGAATCAAATCTTTAAAAAATAAATATGTGATCTGAAAAACTCAACGGTTATGTGGAAAGATGATGCTGGGCCTTCCTAAGGTATAATAGTAAATAGCAGAGGTCATACCATGCAGATCAATTTAACCCCCAACAGGGGTCGGGAGGTCTGCACCCGCATCTCCTGGACCTAATGGCACTGTGATTAATTTCTAGTACATTGACCTGCCTACTATGAGTAATCGAATTCAGCTTTTTTTGACCAAGTTGCTCGTGCACATGGGATGATAACCTAAGTCAAACTGACCATGCTAATTTTACTGTTACCTTTTCATTGGACATTTTTTTTTTTTGCTTCTGGATAGAAAGCTCCATTTTAACAGTCAATATATACTTTCATTTATGTGCATCAAATATAGCCACAGTGTATATATGTTCAGTGGCTGGAATAAATTGGTTCACTTTTGACTCAGGTACTCTGATACCCAACGTGAGCTTTCTAGATCCTTTGCTTTCCTACTGTTGTCTGGCTTTTGATCAGCAGTGTATGAAAGGTTCCTTCACCCCTCCATCAGCGTTTGTGCTACAAAAGGAGGAAGACAGATCATAGTCTTCCTTTTCATAGTTCTTGGAGAAGGTTTAGCAGTGGATTCTATAAAGATTACTCTTATGCCCATAGCTGCCTATGGATTTGAAACTCCTTTCCTAAATCTGCCTTTCTACAGCTGTAGCGACAGCTTGGGATTTATGACCTGTATTCTACCTACATGCTCATGTGCAGTTGTGGCAGACTAATTAGAACAGAGCTAGAATTTGAGTTTAGTGAAAATATCTGAATCTAAATTGCCATGAAGACGAAGTGCAAATACACCATTTTTGTTAGTGACAAAACTATATACATTTATATTGAATAATGGAGAAGAAATTCTAAAGTGAGATGTTCAGACTTATTTACTTTTTCCTAGTTTCTCAGTAACTTCTCCATTAGCTTATTTCTCTTCAGGTAACCAACAGTTTTAGAAGACAAATTTCACTGCATGAGTCATGTGTGGTTGTGCTTTGAATAAATACAAGATTCACCCACGCAAGCAGTCTTTACTGCAAGCAGAATCTTTTAACCCAGGGCTCACTGTAAGTCTGTTGGTTGGAATAAGGAATTCTTTATTTATATTCAGATTATCTGCTTGGTGGCCAAATTTTAATCTAAGCCTGTCTTTTCCTGCCAAGTAGCATAGAGTGTGTCCTTCGGCTGCCTGGCCAATATGTGCTTCAGGAAAGTAAATTCATTTTAATATTAGTCTAGGCAAAAAACTGCAGGAGGAAAATTCACATATGTTCCAAAGGCAAATAGAAAGGTCTTTTGATTTTCTGATGTCTTGAATTATCTGTGCTGCAACTTTCTTTCAGTAGTTTGAATAATTCATATTTTAGAACCGTTTTGCCGTTGGGTTAAAAAATATTAGAGCCAGCTAAATTTTCCAAGCTTCTTACTTAAAAGCAGTATTATTAATGATGCATTTGACAGCAGTGAGCACAGAGTAGGAGCAGTGTGGAATATACTGTTTCTATTTTTTATTTTTACTTTTCCGAAGCCTGTTTGTAGTCTGTCTCCACCTAAAAACGGTCTACAGGCAATAGAAAGAAACTGCATTTCCAAGAAAAGTCGGTTAGAGAAGCATTGGATGGGGAGACTTGATTTCATTTAGGATGCTGTAAGGCCCCAGGAACCTCCAAATGTACCATAGGTTACTTAATGCTTGACATGTACTAATTTGGAAATTCACAGAAGTGATATTGAAGTGTCACAACATTTGAACTCAGCATGTGAGATCAGGATGAGGTTTCATCAAAAAAGCTAGTGATGAAACTTAAACTCATGCCTGTATTTCCTGGTTCATAATTCCTGTTCCAATTTTCTGTCTTCTTCCTTTTTGGAAAATAAAAAGTGTGCGTAAATTGCAAAATTGCCTTGGCACCACTCCAGCTTTGTCTTTGTTGTCTGTCCTGAAGCCACATTAGCCTGCCTTTGGTTGCTAAAGCCATCTTTGCTCCCTCTCAAACTTTTCCGAATTAATAGCTGATCATCATTTAGATTCGAGTAAATATCACCCCAGGGGAGCCTTGCCTTGTTCCTCCAAATGAGTTCAGGTTACCCATGTTGTAGATTCTCATAGCTTCCTTATAGCTCTTCTTTGTTTTTTACATCGCAAATTGTAACTGTATGTTTATTTGCATGATTATTTAAATGCCTGACTACTGCGCTATGGTGTAAAATCAATGAGGAAGAGATCTTGTGTGTATTGCACACCACTGTATTTCCAGTAACTTGATTACTTCTTGTACTTTGCAGGCTCTCAGTTAAGTATTAGAATAAGTGCATTCAGGGCAAATATAGAGCCATGAAGTTTATTTTTTGGGTTGATGGGACTCAAAGCCAGAAAGGGAACTTAGTGCCAAGTTGTGAAGGCTCTCAGCTCCCTGCCGAAGTGTTGAGCTAGATTTATGAGGCAGATTAGACTGCCTGCTTGGAGCAGTGAGCCCCTGGGTTGGAAGAGAACAGTGTCCCTGGACTGGATTACAGAGGTTGTTCATGCCTGGACCAAGAGCTTTAGTGGACGGATAGGAGCAGATAGAAGCCAGTTGTGTGAATCGATAGTCTATGAATATAGAACAAGATACAGCATATAAGAGGAATATGGAACATTTGTTATAGAAGTTTGGACTGGAGAGTAACTAAGGAAATCAAAGAAAGGGGGAATTATGAAGATAATAGGAAGACATTGCCTCTGAAGGGAAGTCATTTATAAAAATGTGAAGAATATAAAAGGCTTCATTGGAGGGGGAAATCAGAACAGAATGGGTTTGAGTTGAAGGCCTCTTTGGAAAGGGGAAGTAGTCTGCTCTAGGGCAGCTGAAAGACTGTTTCAGGGTAGAAGGACTGTGCCTGATAGAACATTTCAGGTGGCCCAAGAGTGGTCAATAAGTGGTCCTTCCTCTTCTTCCAAGCCTGATGGGAAGGTAGAAGAGAAATTCAGGATAGAAATCTCTTGAGCTGACGGTAAGGGAACAACACCCTCGGGAAGATCATGGTGTAGCAAGTGGAACACTTACTGTGCATTGGGCAGTCTGGTGGCTGTGAGTGGGCACTCACATGATATAGCACCTTGGAAATCTTATTTTGAATCTCTGTGACGTTACGATTGTGCAAGAATCTACATATAGTACATTGTGTGGTTTGTTGTTGTTGCGTTGAAGCTTTTCATTTAAAATGTTTTACCAATGTGTGAGCTCTTGAAATGGTGTCATTGCATGTTATGTTTACCCTGATGGATGCATTTGCTTATAATTGTTTTTGCTTTGTCCTCAGTTCTGATATGTTGGATGCCAGTAGTAGCAGCAGTGGCTTGTCCTCAGGCTCACAGGCTACAGGCAGCGCTTCCGCAGAGTCTTCAGTAGCATGCTCCAATCCATACTCTTCGTTCACCTTGATGGATGATCTCTCACCCAAGTGACTTAACAATTTTTGATTCCGTATTTTACCTGCTGTTTCCTACACAAGACATTGAGTGAGGAACACAGGGAACTTTGATCCATACTGTGGATTAAAGTTTCACATTTCCACCATTCTGGTGTTACTATGTTTTGGCATCTCTAAAGTTCCATTTTGCAAATGTAGTGATCTTACTAATACCTGTGTTTTAACTGATCTCACTTTGGATATGATAACTAAATCTCAGATGCTCATTTTTGATTGTTTAGAGGATATGTTTTTCTTAGTGCCTTGCCTATTTTCAAGTGTAAACTTTTGAAGAAGGCACTGATGTGTATTCTCTGCCATGGTTTTCTTCCCCAGCAGTGATATGACAAAGTTGATCAGAAATTCTCTTGCTTGAGAGATTTTTTTTGTTCTATGTTGACCACATAGTTTCCGGTCTGTTTGTTTCACAGTAAAACATAAATTGCTTTGATTATGTAAGTTTTTTTCCCCATACATCAGCTTCAAGTACATTATTTTGTTTCCCTTTCCTGTTTGAGCTGCTTACTTGCCATTTCTCACTGAGGTGAAAAAGCACGTAGTTGCTTTCATTACTACCTTTGTTGCTTACTTGTGTTGGAATGTATGAGGTGAGGATTGATTTTATGTTGAGAATGCAAATGGATTTATAGGATGCTTGTTTGTCATCCCATCTTTTCATGACTTTGCCACCCCAGTTGTTATTTCTCCCCACAAATCTGTTGCACTAAGGAATATATATAATATTGTTGGTATTTCTAGGTGGTGTTATCAAGGAGAAGAAATCCCTGCCTTGACCAGATGTGTGGAGCATCTACAAATGAATGAATAATGTTATTTACATACAAATCACTGTACAAAAGCATCCTCGGAGCTGTCTGGGTATCGGGTGGTATAGTGAGGCCTTAGGTGCCTTGGGGTACGTGGTTGTGCCATCCAGGCTGTATATCCTGAAGTAGGGTAGAAAAGGGGATCTTTGTGGGTGTGTGATTGCTACATACTGCTTCAGCTGCTGTTTTTTCTGATTTATTTTTGTCAGTTGGATTTGTTTCTTTTATCGTGCTTGTTGGTGTTTTGGTTATCATGTTGCCACCAGATGGGAAGCCAGTTCTCATTATTACCACGTTTTAGTAAGGGCAGTTTAATATTTGCAAACATGCTTTTAGGAGCTAAAAATGTCATTGTTGCTCTATTCTGTTTTTAAGAAACTGTTGACTGGTAAACAGTATACATGCTAATAAGTATAAGGTGTGCCATACATTTTTCAAATTTTAAAAGAAAGTTCTGATTGAGCTATTTAAGAAAGCTCAGCGTACTCTGTTGTCATTCGTTATTTATTGCACTGTAGAAAGTGTCTGTTGTGATAGACTTCTTAATGTTCACCTATCGTAGGTGGATTGTCTCTGTTTAATGTGCACATTAATCCATTTTTAAGTGAATGTAAGAAAATGAAAACTACTGCATTTGTGTCTTTGAAGGCAAAGACCCTTGGATTTTAAAGGAAAATGGTGTGCTTTGAAGGCACTCACACACTCTGGCTGGAAGGGAAAGCCGTTCTCTTTCAGTTATTACAGAGCATCACGTGGCTCACAGTAATTCTGTCACAGCATCAGACATGGTCTTTATTTTCACTTGTTATCATAGCCATAACAGCCATTAGTAGCTTTAATCCTCATATTGCTTTCACCTGGGAAGTTTCTGCAAGTCTTCAAGCCTAACACATCTATTATGAAGATTGTCTCTTATTATGCCAGTTTAAAGAAAAATTTCCTCCATACTATTTAGTGTATCTATTCTGTTTGTCAGAGAGCCATTTTAAGATATGTCTCCCCTGTAATGATGATAGATGGTTTTTGTCTTTCAGGAAATTTATCCACCTTCACTCTGAACTCTTCTTTGCCTTAAAGGGACACTTTTGGGCTCTAACATGGGGCTATTAAGAAATTACCTTATTCATGTGATAAATTTACAGTTTTAAATTAATTCACTGTGGGGAGAAGACTATGGAAGAGATTAAAAATTTTCTGATGATATGAGAACTAGACTAGATTATTCACTTTATTGTTTAAACAAAGGTCTTTTTGAGTTTTTATTGTTCAAATAGACTGGATAGGTAATTTTATGCAGGGATTGTTTTGAAATAAACAAAAGAGGGAAATGGTAACCCACAGATTAGCTTTATTGATAGCACTGCTTTATTTTTATATAAAATCTAATATTTGAAGTGATCATTGCTATACAGTCAGATTCTTTCTTCTATTCTAATATTATATATTTCAGGCTTCTATTTGAAAAGCATAAGAGATGATACTTTAAGAGAATCCTAAATATACTTTTTTGCTTCACTGACTTATATAATCATTGTATTTCATAACTGCTTTTGGGATAATAGTTTTGTGAAATGCTGGCCTTGTGTATATCTTAGTATGCAAATTTAATAAAGTATGTAAGCATTTATCAAATTTAGTAGTGTTTTTTTCAGTCTTACTTCTTTTGTTCTTACTAATATTTTTTTCTGGTTTTGTACCCTAATAGTTAATTTATGTGCTAATTGCAGGTCAATTTCTGAGTCAAAGGTTATCAGAACCACAGAAGAATTCATAGCTATATTGACATTTGGGCACCCCCCTCCAAAAAAAAAAGTAATCTCTCCACATTGTATGTCAGCATTTAAAGAATTTTCATAGAATCTGACCATTTAGAAGGTTCTTGGCAGACTCATATATATTCCTTGTTTCACTTCATTTTATCTTCTATTTTTTATATATTTATATGCCTCCATAAGTTGTTTTAGAACAAGATTAGAAGTCATATGGAAAAAAATAAGTCTTTTGTGCACAACCCAAGATAAAATATTAAATTTTATTTTCAGGTTTTTAAAAGTTATATATTTGAGAGATCTTTTTCTTTCTTCTTTTTAATTTAATTTTTATTAATCGTACTTGATTAGGGTGCAAAGGGTCAAAGGTTACAGGATAAAAGTGGGTAATACCATTGTTTCCACACTAATATTATAATTTTTTCCCCCTGTATCTGGGGTCACGGGAGAGATAGATCTTCTCTCTGCTTGTTCACTCCCTGAATGGCAGCAGCAGCTTGGGCCATGATGAAGCCAGGAGCCCCAGAACTCAATCTGGGTCTTCCACAAGGATATAGGGAGCCAACATTGAGCCGAGCCATCAGCTGCTTTCTCCCAGGGTGCACACTGGCAAGAAGCTGAATAAGAAGCAGAGGCCAGACTCAGCCGCAGGTACTAAGATACAGGCATCCCAGGCAGTCAGGGGCTTACCCTGATGTGGCACAACACCCATCTTATTTTCAATTAAAAATATATGATCTTCATTCTAAAAGACCACATTTTGAAGTAGTTTCTGCTTCATAAGAGTTGCAAGAACTCATGTATATCATTCACCTAGATGCCTCAGGTAATATTTAGCAACATTTTCTTCATCATTATCTGTATATGTGTTTTTTGGGGGGGTGGGATTTATTTTATTGGAAAGGGAGATTTGCAGAGACAAGGGAAGACAGAAAGGTCTTCCATCCACTGCTTTGCTCCGCAAATGGTCACAGTGGCTGGATTTGAGATGATCAGGAGCCACGGGCTTCTTCTAAATCTGCTGCATAGGTGCTTTCCTAGGCCGTAAGCAGGAAGCTGGATGGGAAGTAGACCAGCTGGGACACAAACCGACATCCATATGGGATCCAAGTGCTTTGCAAGGAGAAGGTTAACTAGTTGAGCCATTTTTCCTAGTCTCTCTGTGTGTGTTTCTGAACCGCCTGAAACAACTATCAAAATCAGGAAACTGACTTGGAACCATAACAGCCACCTCATTTACAAACCCATTGAAATGGTTCCAGTAATGCTTTTTTAAGCAGAAGGAAAAGAGAAATATTCTTTTGGTCCAGATGTCAATTCAAACTTAATGTGTCGCATTTAATCATTACATGTCATGACTTTCCTTCAGATTGGCAGTTCTGTAACTGTCTTTTGTGATCTTTATATTTTCCAAAAGTACTGGCCAGGTTATTAAAAATTTGAGCTGAAATAACACTAAAGTAATACTCTGTTCCCAATATGTCATTTCAGAAGGTATGTGTTGTCACTTTTCCTCTTTATTATTTATGGTAGCCTTGATCCTTTGATGAGGGTGGTGTCTGCTGTGCTTTTCCACTGGACAGTTAGTCTTTTCTACTGAAATTAATCATTTGTATTGAAATAGGAATTTCAATGCCATGTTTCCTTATCAAAGTATCCCCATTACAAAATTCATAAATCTTTGTTGCCTGTTGGTATAATTGTGACTTGTTAATTCAATAATTTCTTGTACATTTATTAACTGGCATTCTGCTACAAAGAAGAAAATTCCCTGGGCTGGTGTATTGTCTAGCAAGCTAATCCTTGACCTGCAGTGCTGCCATCATATATGGGTGCTGGTTCGTGTCCCAGCTGCTCCACCTCCCATCCAGCTCCCAGCTTGCGGCCTGGAAAAGCAGTAGAGGATGTCCCAACAACTTAGGACCCTGCACCTGTGTGGGAGACCCAAATGAAGCTCCTGACTCCTAGCTTCAGATTGACTAAGCTCTGGCCACTGTGGCTGTTTGGGCAGTGAACTAGTGGATAGAGGATTTCTGTTTCTCCTTCCTTCTATAAATCTGCTTCTTCAATAAAAATAAATCTAAAGAAGAAAAAGTTGCCTTCTCCTTTAGTTGCATCAGTATGGCCTTCTTTTTGTCATTGTGTTTTAATCTATTGCCATGATTGTTGTGATAGCTTTTCTCACATTTGCTCAGAGAGTGCTTCTAAGCCCATTTCTGTGTGCTTTCAACAATTCCCTTTTATTTTTGTTTTACCAGCTTTTCACTTAATGGCATAAGATATCCCGGACTCATTCTTTCCTTGTCCTAGCCCCTGGGATCAGTCTTTTCTCTAAGGATCCTTAATTCTTTTTTAAACATTTGCTTATTTGAAGAAGTTACACAGAGAGAGGGAAAGACAGAGAGAGATCTTAATCTGCTTGTTCACTCTGCAGACAGCAACAATGAATGGGCAGGGCTGGGGCCAGGCCAAATCAGGAGCCAGGAGTTTCTTTAGGTTTCCCACATAGGTGCAGGGGCTGAACACCTGGACCTTTTCCCACTGCCTTTCCCAGGCCATCGCAGGTAGCTGGGTTGGAAGTAGAGCAGCCAGGACTCAAACTCGTGGTTATATGGAATTCTCGTATTGCAGGCAACAGCTTTACCCTCTATGCCACAACAACAGCCACTGTTAATTCCTTTCAGTAGAGAATAGCATTTGAAAACTAAGCTGAGGGCATGAGGTGTGACTATTGATACTGACTGGAGCATCATTGTTTCAACAGTTAGGGAAAACATATGTATGAGAATACCTATATGCTGTAAGTTTACACACACTCCTACATCTTTATTACACATCTAATCCCCTTCAAAATGAATAAAAGAAACGGTGAGTATATGTGCCGCCAAAGTGAGCACAAAATCAGAGATTTGGCCTAATGATTAGTTTGCTGGTTAGGGTGCCTGTCCCATTTAGAGTGGGTGGGTTCAAGTCCCAGCTTTGCTCTGACTTCCAGCTTCTTACAAGTGTAGACCCTGGGAGGCAGCAAGATTGAGATTCCAGTTGCTGGCTTTGGCCTAGGAAGTGAACTAGCAGATGGAATGTCTATCTTGCTCTTGCTGTCCCAAATGAATAGGGGACAGTATTGTGATGTAGTAGGTAATGCTGCTTCCTATGATGCCAATACCCCATATGAGTGCCAGTTGGTTTCCCATCAGTTATTTTCATCGTGCATCATACAAAGAGGTACATGATCACACTGTGTCTCACTGGAGATGCCAAATGTAGTCACGTGATCAAGATCTCTACTTGTTACTATAAAATCGTCTTTCTCCTCTTTATAATTAATAATAAATAATTACTGTAAAAATGTTACTAGGTGAATGTCCTGGTCTCTAAATATTTTTACGCTTATTGAATCAAGTTTTAAGATGGTGGCTGCAAAGCTGTGGTTTCTTAATTCTGTCATTTCACATTGATTAGCGAGTATAGTTCTGGTTACCTAGGGCTAGGGTTAAGCTTACTTTCTTTAAAGTTGACCCCCCCCCCTTCTTTACACATCGCACTTCAAATTCTTTTTTGAATAAATTATGCCAGGTGTTATAACCTGCTAACATTATGATAGTGGTGCAAGAGTAAATTGATCAATGGGACAAAGAAGAAAGTCCAGAAATGAACCTAAATGTATGTGAAAATTCAACATATAATGAACCAAATTACTAGGGGAAAGATGGATTTAAAAAATAAATAAATGCTATGACTTCGACAGGAGAAAAGAGACTATTTGGAAGAAATGAAAATAAAAACAAAGCAAAAAACACTAAGACACGTGGGATGCAGCAAAAACAGTATAGAAAGAGTTATTGATCTTATAATTTACATCGCTGGCTCTTGGATCACACAGTGATGTCATTTTGCCCAAGAGGCTTTTGTGTTTTCTTTTTCATTTCTTAGGAGCGCATTTTTTTGACTCCAAGGTGCTGTAAATTTTTTGTTTTAACTTCATACCTGTTGACTTTGTTTCATGGCTTCTCATTTAAGGGAATGTATAGTGACAGTGTAATAGAGACTATCATATTCAGATGTGAAGATACAATGCAGTATGCATCCCTACTTCCAAATCAAAGATGGACTCCCAGTGAAACTGTTGGACATATCTAGACAATAGGATGCTGGACTGTCTGACATTATCTGTACCAGCAATGTCAGGGAACACTTAAATAACAGACTGATGGAATTATGACTGCCTATTTATTGTAATAATATGGGGGAAATCTATAAGGGGTGTGGGAACTTGCAGAAGGGGTAGGAAAATCCCAGACCCTATGGAATTGTACCATAAAATTCAAAATAAAAATTTTAAAATGTGAATGGAGATAAAATCATACAAACATTAGAAGAAAGCAAGGATTAATTCCAAATAGATAAAGAATTCTCAGTATTTAGAGGGGAGAAAAGGCTAGAAATCTCAAGAGAGTAATAGAAAAAAAAACATGGATACAAGGTCACAGGAATGACCTTTAGCATATGAAAAGATACTCAATTATATAGATTGTAAGAGAGACACAAATGTGTTTATGCAATCAGCTGGACCATCTGGATCAGTTGGGGGGGTGATGGTCAAGGCAATGCTAGACTGTTAGGTTTTCCTTGAAGCACTCCTGTGCTTTCCTTTTTATAGCACTTGTCTTACTTGTAGTTGTCGTATTTACTCCATGGCTATCTTGCATACTAGCTTAGCAAATATGAGAATAATGCCAAGCTTCTCTTGTTCACACTGGCATCCACAGCACCATGCAACAAAATGAAGTGCAGTTAGCATTTGTCACGGATGTGGCCTACATGAATGAGTGAAGAGGTAGCAGGGACTAGTGTCTAAACTTG